GCCCGGTGTGGATATACACTCGGAGTAACATCACACATGCATAACTAAATGTATTGACAATTTTTATCTAAACTGACCCACCTATATATGAATAAATATTAATAGAAATTTATGAAAGTACCAGTTAATTGGAAACAAGTCGATAAATTCTCTCAAACCATGTTTTTAATACCTCGGACATACCTATAGGTATAGGCATATGAGAATTGAGTAGATCAAGTAGATGCCAAGCTATATTATTTTATACAAGGAACGTGGAACACTTGATCTGGCAATCTGTCATATACACAACTAGTCTATTTGGCATTACAACAAACATAATTTGATATAAAGGCTGAGTCAAATGTAAGCCATAGTATAAAACTAATGTATTTATATTGTCGCAGCGAATTCAAATTTTAAGACGGAACACATGCTCAAAATTCACAAATGAAGATACGGTAAATATTTCCTTTCAAAATTGCTCTGTTATATAGAAAACAAAACAATATTCTTACCTGGAAGTTACTCAGTCATCCCTGATGTTCCATCTTCGCTAAAATATATCATCTTCCAGTAAAATACTATAAATCTTTCGATCGAGCAGATGAAAATTTACTGAATTTCAAAAATATGGCGGTGTGATCGAATGATGCTATCCCAGGAAGCTTTGCGCGTGTTGTAGGAAAACTAGGCACCTGTCTGCCAAACCGTTAAAAGGCGCTCATCATGAGAATTTTCGTTTCAAAATGGTCTTTTGTATAACAAAAATACCTACCTCCACAAGCACTATAATATAGTTCCCATGAAGTCATGAAGAATTTAAAATTATTTCAATCCCTCAATCAAAACGTTGGTATCGAAATTGAGGAGACCGGACTCAGGCCTGGATCACCTGGGGGCCCAACTTGCGGGGAAGGGGCTCTGGCATGCTGGAATTACGAAATTTGTAAAAGTAAGGATTTGTTCGGTGAATTATGGATTTTCTGGGAAATTTAGGTCGAAAATTAGTGTTGCGAAAAATTTTGGGAACTTTTGTTTTCGGAAACATAACGTCGTCCCCCCCCCCCCCGCGAACATTTTCCAGAAAAGAAAATGTTTTTGAGGGGCCCTGCTAGGGAAGGGGTCCCATTTAATACCCCCAATCATGTACCGGTTGGCACGGCCTTGTCAGTTTATACTATAATAATTAGACAGTATAGTATTTTAAATATAAAATGCTTGAAGAATTAAGTGGAAGAAACTTGAAGAATGAATATCTTCAAAAAACTGCCAACATTTTACATGTTGTTTTTTATTCTCCTGTAACACAACGGTTGTAAATGCAGTTTCAAATCGAGTTGCAAATCTATTTATTTGATTTTTTGCAAATCTATTTATTTGAAAATAATAAATTAATTATACACTCCAGCTGCTGAGCAAATATGCGCCTTAATTTAAAGCTGCATCTCACTCTTCGCAATTTGACTCAGAGAAGGGTCAAACTGGATCCTTCGAAGAGTAATGTTACTCTCATGGAGTCGCAAGCCTTCCCGCGAAAAGTTAGTTTGACCATAACCCTTCCATGACCTTCCATGACCATGGAGTCAAAACTACCCTTGGAGTTGAAACGACCCTTTCGAGGTGTAGAAACTACCCTCTTTTCAAAGGGACAGAAATGACCCCTAGGTGTAAAAAAGGTCAAAACTACTCTTATGAATTTACAATGTAGGCCAGATCCAATTACAGTTCACTATGACATGAATTACGTGTACGAAATTACTTTAATTGTCATATGTGAATTGTATAATTTCATAATATGTGAAATATATGACTTGATTTTCATATATGAAAATTCACATATGAAATTACCAAAATTCACATATGAAATGGATTTCATATATGAAATTTCTTCTTTCATATGTGAATTGTATAACTTCATATATGACTTGATTTTCATATATGAAAATTCTTATATGAAATTACCAACTTTCATGTGAAATGGATTTCATATATGAAATTTCTGTTTTCATATGTGAATTGTATAACTTCATATATGACTTGATTTTCATATATAAAAATTCTTATATGAAGTTACCAAATTTCACATGTGAAATGGATTTCACATATGGAATTTAGTTTTTCATATGTGAATTGTATAACTTCATATATGACTTGATTTTCATATATAAAATTCTTATATGAAATTATCAAATTTCACATGTGAAATGGATTTCATATATGAAATTTAGTTTTTCATATATGAAATTAAAATTTAATATATGACCTGCTTTTCATATATGGAAATTTAATATGTGAAAAAGAGAATTTCACATATGAAACTGAAATTTCACTATGAAATTACCTTTTCACATTTGAAAATGAAAATCTTCATTTTATATATGAAATTCCAATTTCATATATGAACTTTAATGTGAAATTTTTTGTAAGAGAAGAATAGGAATTAAATAGCACTTAAATAGTGTTTGATTCTACAAAGGTTACCTTTGGGCAAAGAAGCCAGTTATCAGTAATAAAAACAGTTGAATGGCTTTCTTGTTTTTACAAACTTACTTTTGAAGTGGTAAAAGATAATTTTCATCTTCCTTTCAAAATTTGCTTTTAGCATCACTTTTAGAGTTCTTATAAGTCGCTACGACTTAAATTAATCTTTCTCACACGAAACATTTGATAATCAGCGATGGATTAAAAACCTCTATCCTTCGCTGACGCGGTGAAAAACAATTTTCTGAAACACGCAGATGCTCCAGAGGCAGTGTTTTGGGAGAACGAAGAAACTGCATTACAATCGGTCTATAAATATAGAGAGCCCTGCGGCACTTAGGATTTTTACCTGTACTAAATTTCCAAGTGCCCTGGTTGTCCAAGAGCGGGCATAAAATTCCCTAACTGAGTGTTAGTTCAATTTACGGTCGTAAAAACATAAATGCAGAAATAGAAAAAGAAGCACGCGTGCGTTGATGTATTAATTTAAGGCTACAACTTACAAGGTCTATTGCATATCGTTTTGTTTTGTCATTTTGACTGAGCAAATGGTTATTTTAATTTAACTCCTCATAACTCATGATACTGTTCAGACGAGGAACCTTCGTTCGAAATGCAGAGTCTAAAGACGTTTTCTTATTCCTTTCAAATCCTGTATACAAACGCCCAAAGGCAAAGGTTTTACAAAGATAGGTGACCGCTGGATACGCACTTGACAGTCACTCTCAACAAATTACAATTTTGGGCTTGATTTCTATTATTCGGGCAAAAATATTAGTCCTTTGTAAAATTTTGGTTTGTAAAACTTTTGAAAGAATATCATTCGTTTGGAAAACCTTGCTCTGTGAAATTGTGGGCGGAAGGAAGGAAAACTTCACGTCTTGCGATACGAAGTCGATCTCGTATGTTTATCTGTCTGACTGACAAAAAAAGTAAAGTTCGTTGCCGAGTGGTGAGTGCTGAGACTTATTTCTTTCGTAAGCTATCGGCGATCCGGAGTGAAGTCAGGTTTTACGCAATTATAAATCTAACGGCCAGTATTAAATGTTTTAGTTGTTCCGTGCTCCGGTTTTCCAGTGTTTCTGTGTTCCTTGTTTTAAAGATAGGCCAGCACAAAAAACATCGGGCTTCCATCAGTGTAAGGAATAGAACACAGCATTGTGTATTCCCCATTTGCAAACAAATCATTAAATTTTTCTGCAATTGGTTTGCTGTCCGTTATTTCTATACATGACCGAATAATTTTGAAAGAAAACCCAATTTTTTAATAAGAGGAACATTTTCGTACCTTTGATTTCACAAGAGGATCCATTCCATTTGAACCCAAGATGACATTTACATGAGAGGTGGCCATTAATCTTGCTACAGTATTCGTTAACACCGCACCGAGGAATGGGACATCCATCTAATGGAGAAAATTATACAAGGTAAGAAAAAGTATTGAAAAAACAAGCAATCTTTTCAGATAAGATTTGTCAAAAACAAGGTCCAAAAAGTTAAAACTGAAAACAGTATTAAATTTCAAGGATTTATTGAAACTAGACTTTTTTGAACAGAAATATTTTGAATAGAAATATTTTGAAAATATATAGATTTTATGCGATAACTAAACATCAAACTTCCAATTATAGTAATAAATCATAGAATAAACTACAAGTAACTGTTTCGATTTCTGTCGTGTGAAAATAAATATTTCAAATATGTCCTGGAAATAAAAGACCCGACATTATTGTGATTTTTTTGCGAGTGAGCAATCGTTTCATTTTCTAAAATAAAGCTTCTTAATGGCACATTAGGATAAACAATGGAATTTATTGTCCTAAAGTATTAATTGTCCTCACCTGAACTTGCTGCATGCATATATTTTTGGTACATCTCTGAAAGTTTGCATCTATTTGTCAAGCATTTGGTAAGCATGATAATGATTCTGTTACATGAACTGAATTGAAATATATCCAGTTAAATTTTTGTTTTTCTCCAATATTTGGGGTTAAAACCTTTTCTATTTTCCGGTTTTTTCATTTTTATTTTCATATTCAAATTTATCTTAACCTACCTAAATGGATTTGAAGTTTGTCTGAGCTTTTGAAAATTTGGCACTAAATATTGTTCGCGTTTAAAGAATTGTTTACTTCATGGTTTTTCCTAACTTGAGTACTGTGCTCAACAAGAAAAGACACGCAATACAACTTGTCACCGAACTATAGTTTTTGCATTCTATACTTTATTGACAATGCATAATTATCTGTTATTGACAATGGACAGTTCTGTTAATTTTTTAAATAAAGCACGCTCGTGTAAGTTTTATGCATCACTCGTCCTGAATCAACTAATTGGAAGCTTGCGATTCACGTCACCATATTGTATACAAGGTTTCTCTGAAAATAGGCTTATATTATCCGTTTGTAGTTTTGACTATTATTAAGAGACAGCAGATTCGAATAATAATTTTCATTTACAATCTTGCATGGTATTTCCTGACTAAATTTAGAGTTTTATGCCAATGACTGTCACACCAAGCATGTTGTTTCATATACCTGTTGGGTACTGCGACTGCTCCACGATGGCGAAGTTATTCAAACGGGTAAACGGTTTCGGTAAAGAGATATTTCGAAATAGAACTCCTGTGGATACACTAATCTCATGAATCACTCTTTTGTCCATCCTTTGGACGTAAAGAAATTCCCCGAATATTATCAACGCAGAAACGTTCCTTCCAGCAAATGAGATATTTTTCCGCGAAACACCATCATAATCTAGGAAACAAATATTTGTGCTTGTATAACTCGCTCGATAATAGTACAGTTCCTTGTTAACATAATCGAGATACACCCTGGACTGGCCATCTTTCACATTGAACTTCTCAAGATCCTTTCCGATGAAATTAATTCGCGCAAGAGTCGATCCACAATTTTTATAAAAGATATATCTAAGCAAGAAATAACATAAAACAGTTGCGTGAGGTTGGTAATTTTCTTCAGTTATATAACTATGAGATGTATAAATGTGAAAATTTTTGAAAAACTATAAATGAAATTTGATGTTGTTTTGGTTGTAAATTGACATCAGACATCGGTATTACTAGAGGAACATACGCGAAAAATATGCATATTTTAGTGCTTTCTCCATTCGCTATAACGCTGCTCGAATAACTAACAAACTTTCCTTACATTTTTGCATATAATTATAAATATTTGACTTATGACGTTCTTTAATTTCGCACTCCAGAAATGCATTCTTTTGTCTAGACAAGCGCTTTTGTGTCTTAATTAAATAAAATTATATTAGCTGAGTGGTATGGCTATTATTGTTTGCATCTTTGTAAAATAGGTGAAAAACAACAATTTCCGAAGCCTCTTGGAAACAATTGAAAAGGAAATAGTATGCAAAGAACATAACAACCGCGTGGTTGCCATTTTCGGTTGTTATCCTACATGTAAAAAAAGATTTCCACGAAATTTGTTATATAATTATGATATGTTTAATTAAGAGAGTTAGACAAAACCAATGACTCAAGACCTTGGAATATTGTAATCGTAGATGCTCATAACGCACCCTGAAATAGGATCGACAGCCAAGCTTCCAATATTGTTTTCACTGAGATGGAAATATGTTCCGTTAGAGAAGTTCACATTACCCACAGTTATCGATTTCGTTTCCTCTGAATCCACCCAGAACATGCGTCGTCCTATCCAGTCTAATGCAAATACTTGTATAGCATCTTCATAAATTACTTCCTTATCAGAGCCATCAAAATTCGTTCGGTACACTTTTGTCCCACTTTTAAAATACATGTTTTTCCCAACAGGATCAATGATCAAGTTTTTGATACTGTAACGTTCATCGATGACGATTGTTGAATAATTTGATGATAGATCAACAACTGATATTCTTGTTTCACTGACAGCAAGCAGGTAAGGCTCCGGGAATGGACCTGGAAAATATATTTACTTCAGAAATAGATAAAGATTCGCGTGCGTTTATGGTGTGATGATGCGCCAGGAAAAGTTGGGGGTACACGAGAGAAGAGTAAACCAACAACATTGTAAATTGCACAAAATAAAATAAGTGAGAAAAAAAAACAATTCTGGAAATTAAACTTAATAATAAACTGGAGAAAACCTTAGAAAGTGCATTATGGCGTTATATATAATGGCCGTGCTATATAATGTAACCTGCACAGAAGCACGAGAAAGAACGAATAGTCTCACTAACTGAACGACCGTATACAGTTCACATTCGATCAACTCAACACTTTCTATTTGCTAAGACAAGTTTAATTATAATATTCGTTTCTTTATTTGAGATATCAAGCTCTTTAATACCGCTTATTCTGAATTTACTATCAGATGGTATGGTCATTCCAAAAAGCTTGTGATTCAAGCTGATAATAAACACTACTTGAAGCAGGGGTTTGCGAGTTTGGGAATCCATTCGTGAGCGACGTGGCAGCTAACGCAGGCAATGGTGGTTCGATATCTAAGGTATGCAGATGTACCTATAGTTGTGTTAACAGTACTGCACTGTGTAAAACTCGATATGACGATTTTAGAATCCCGTTTATTTACATAACTTTCCCAACAATAGTCTAAGTCCGACGATATTAGCTCACTTGGTGTTAAACAAAAGGTCGTGGAGGCCATTATAAAAGAGAGTAATCTGCAATCTCAATGAAGAAATTCAATACATTAAGGCAAAGTTATTATCTCTTGAGCGCGGTGGAGGCCATTACGACATTGCGAACAAAGGTAGTGGATAATTTATTAATCCATCTAACGAAATCCCTCACATCTCTAGGACAATTACAAAAGACCCTAGCCCAGATTATTATTTAATACAAAGGATGATTCCTTTCGTTTTAACAACGAGTTACCCACTAATTTGAATAAAAATCAGTTAAGCTCATCTACAGTATTATTGAAATTCCTCCGTCCAATGATGAAGATCAACATGGTAATTTAAATACAAACACCACTGCAGTTGTAGATCTATTAATGAACCCTTTATTAGAACACACTAAAGATGCACCCCCGTAAACAGAAAGGAACTATTAATACGCATAGAAATAGGATACCTAATTCATGATTTCAATCACAGCCCTCTAATAACAATGCTGAGCAAATTCTTAAAAGCGCTATTCCTTCTCCTGGCGTATTAAGAAATAAAACCCCCAAAACATCTGCACTCAAATGACCTTTGGGATAATATGCCTAAATACAGACCACGTTGCCCCTTTCTAGGAAGGAGAGGGTTTTGTTTGAAAGGAGACCAGTGCGATTTTTCACGTAGTGATACCCCAAATATTCAGTCGACTCAAAGGTCTAACTTGAATTATCCTAGTCCTTTTTTATCCCACAAGCATTGGAAAGTGACCCCAAACTCCAACTTGCAAGTCCCCCCGAACTATCCCATGATATCATGGTCAAAACCTTTAATGGATATCCCAATATACTCACCTCGTGTTGCCTACCATAGCTACTTTTAAATTATAATACCCGCAATAAGGCCCAAGCAATTAACCTCCCTAGAAGACATAATCCCTCCAACTGTATTTTTACAATTCACGTGTAACCCGATACAAACTGATCTTAAATTAACAAACCGCCAAGGCCGTCTGCCATTGAGTTCAACCAAGCTTTTTGTTATCGAACACTATGTCTCTTAATTGACGAAATTGGCCACTCAATAATGCAAGTTTCACCGAATTACGGATTATGCAAGTTTCACCGAAACTTGGTTGACCGATTCCATCCATGACAATGTGATTCATATTCCAGGGTATAATGCCATTAGAAAGGACCGTGTTGCTGGTCTATACGGTGGAGTTTGCGTTTCTAAATCTGATTCAATACCCTTTGAAATGCTGAGCCAATAACACAATGATCAGGTCGAGGTCTTATGGGCTAAAACCCGAACGCACCGTTTGCCAAGAAGTCTGTCTTGTATTATAATTGGAACACTTCGTCATCCACATTCAGGCAATAACGAATCTATGATTGATTATCTAACCGAAAAATTCTCTTTTATCGAATGTCTGTACCATAACTGTGGTAAAATTTTACTCGGAAACTTTAATAACCAAAACTGTTGCGTTTATGTAATTATTTCGACCTGAACCAATTAGTTAAGTTTCCAACACGTGGGAACAACATTCTCGACCTTATAATATCCAATTTGGGTAAATGCTACCAAACTCCCACAAAGCTCCTTTCGTTTGGTCTATCAAACCATTTTACTATTCTTATGACTCCCAAATAAAGAGTCCCTGGAGTTTCAAAGAATTAATTCGTGCACTTGATTTACGCCCAAGCCAGATATCTGCCACGAGAACCTTTATTACTGAAATCGATTGGTCGATTCTTGACTTCACCCATCGTGCGAAGACAAATGGGTATTCTTTTGAATCTGTAATTCGGGCCGGTGTGGACATTATCCTTCCAGTAAAAAATATTAAAAGGTGTCTGAAAGATCCGTCATGGATGACCCACCATTTGAGTTCGCTAATCCACCAATGTCAGGAAGCGTTAGCCAATTGCCAAGATCTTTTGTTTAAAAGTCTTCGCCATCGTTTTAACCGCGAACGAAATCTTTGTCGTAGTAGGTTTTCCGATACAAAAGTCAAACAGCTTAAATCCTCCAACCCTAAACAGTGGTGATAGTCCATTAAAACCTTGTTTATAGCATGGTTCACTTGCTCGCAGTAATCCAATGTTGTCTTTGAATAGCTGGATGGCTCGTATCGTACCTTACTATACATTTCTTTGTAACTACTCACCATCCAGCTATTCAAAAACAGAATTGACAAACAAGGGAAGCTCGGATTGAACTTCCACTCTTTGAGTTTGAGTGTGAGTGAGCTTTTAGTATACAGCCGATTGTGTCTGCTTTTGATAAAACGTGCATGTCTACACTGTATATACTGTATGTATACGGTATATTGTGTACCGGTGTATGTGTCTACTTAATTATACAAAGTGTGCCCACGTTAGGAACCTTCAAGATAATATTTAATTCTTGTTTTGTGTGGCTACACCCTGAACACATGCACCGTATACCATCTAGACAAAAAGGGAAAACATCATACGCACCCAAAACCAAGACATGCAAGATGGCACACAAAGTATCTATACAGTACTATAATAACTCTAACCCTAACCCCCAACATTCGGACGCTAGCCGTAAAGCTCGGCTCAAATGAGAATGAGAGCCGACATAGATTAAACTAAACAAAGTTTTACATGAGTACTGTAGGCAGAATACATGAAAACGTTGGAAAATCATTAAAAACAGCTAACCAAGGTCACTTCACTTTCAAGTCTATATATGCTGATGAAAGTGCAAACCTCTTCAACCACTACTTTAACTCTGTATTAAAAAAAACTCTGGAGATAGTTGTTGCACTCTTTCACCATTATCCAGTGAAACTATTTCAGAGATCATTCTAGAACCAGCCGAAGCGCGTAATGCACTCAACAATCTGAACCCAAATAAAGCTTCCGGTCCTGACAAAATAACCAGCCGCCTAAATCCGCCTATACTAAAGGAATGCGCATCTATCATAGTCTCCACTACTTACTCATCTATTAACCCTGTGTTATCCGGAACATTTTATAGGTTCTAGATTAGCAAAATAAATATTCCACAAGTATTTCACATAGAATACATATATGATAGTGTCGGGAAAGCATTGAGAATAGTACACAAAATAAAGGACATCGTTCAAAAACTATATAGCAACATGGTACACAGACAAAGTAGACACAGTCATGGTAGCCCAAGTATAGATTGATATCTAATAAGTGGTCACATTATGCATATGTAGTGCGTTGTGTGTAAATAGTTGGGATGAAGTTATAGCTATTATACTTCTGTGAAACTTTGTATACGTGCGCTTAATGGATAATGTAGTCTTTCTGCTTTTAACAGTTAGTTGATAGAGTCGTGGTGGTGCTATTTGCCTAATTACATCTAACAAATTGAATGTCGTTCTCAAGGGATGTATAGCAAAATTATTGAATATTGCATAATTAGTTATTTGCCTGCTCGTTTGTTGATAGTGCAAAAATGTATATTTTTATTGGCCGTTTCCATTTTAATATTAGGAGAGAATATACCTGAGATTATAGCTATCTTATCTAACGAATGGTATTTTTTACAGCATTTGCGTTGTCAAGTCGTGGTAGTAAACGAATCTAGTAAAACATGGATTGCAGCTTATAAGTGCAGAAGGTGTTGTTGATATTGGCGGTAGGTTTTTATACTTTTTATATCTATAACCTATATCTTAATATTGATCGCAGCGTTCCGTATATCCTATGGTATATCCAAGGTTAGTGAAAATGCGATTTATAATAAACTGTATGAAATTCCCTTATATGACACATTTCCGATCATTTTATTTTGCTCTACTACTGATATTAATTGAACAGGCGAACAATGATTCAACCTGCAGTATAAGGAAATGAAACCGCATGCACGTATATATCGCCATGATGTGATGTCACGGCGGCCATGAAATGTTTGTTGTAGAGTGTGTATAAAAAAACTGAACCTTTCAAATTCAAATTAGCTACAACGTTGATAACGTATTGTAGTATTTTGACACTGCTCTAATTGATTTGAATTATTGGTTGGGTAAGAACACAAGGCCTTATACTCAAGGGACAACACTCTCTTTGAGTTTTGTCCCGACGTTTTGAGTGCAGGCCCTTCTGGTCAGGAGGGTTTATAGTAAACCTGGAAACGCGGTTAAGAACCATTCTCAGCACAGGACAGCCTTGCTTATTGACGTAATGAAACTAAACTAGCGTATCCATCACGTAGCCCTTTATTTACATATAAACGCGCTGAACATCAGGCATTAAAATAAGCGTGTTTTTGACACACTTTTGTCCTTGTAAAAAGAAAATGTGTCCTTGTAAATTGAAAAGTGTT